TTTCCTTTACTTTTTCACTCTACCATGCATTTGATATGAGATACAATCTTGGATCTGAGTGACTTGTGGACTCTCGCCTATTCCAACCAAATCTGGATATAAATACTACATGGTGCTAATTGTATAATTTCCAATTATGTGTTGGGTATATCCCCTCTCAAGTTCAAATCTTGACTTTTCAACCACCTTTTACTAAATCCCATAACCCTCATAGCCACCCATTCAACGTAATATCAACAAAACTTTTTCAAAATATCAAAACTTTTCAATGTGACCTTGGGGGGAGAATTTGACAACCATAACTTCAAAATTTTTGCCCAACAACATGGTCTGTTATTCCGTTTTTCATGCCCCCAAACATCTTCCCAAAATGGTCGGGCTGAACGCATGATTCGTCGTCTCAACGACATCATCCGCTCATTCCTCATCCATGCTGAATTACCACCTATGTTTTGGGTCGAAGCACTTCACACTGCTGCCTATCTCCATAACATCTTTCCAACCAAACGTCTCAATTATTTCACACCCACTTTTGCCTTATATCTCCGCCACCCGACATACGATCACTTACGTGGTTCGGGTGTGCTTGTTATCCCAATACCTCTGCAACCCAACCCCACAAATTACACCCAAGATCCGTTAGATGCATCTTCCTTGGATACCCTCCAGATTTTAGGGGATACCGATGCTTTGTAGGGGATACCGATGCTTTGACCCTACAACTGGGAAGATCCACATATCACGACATGTAACCTTTGATGAACAAACTTTCCCATACACCATTCCAACTCCACCCAAAACATACACATTTCTTGATGAACAACCACCACCAGGATTTCAGTTTATACAACCTCACCCAACACCAAACACCACCCAAACCCCAAAACGCCCAATCTCTCCTTACCCCATAATATACACCCGCCGCCATAAACAACAGCCCCTTAACCCAGTGGCCAATGCTACGGCACCCCAACACACTGCTGCACCTGTCTCACAAAATCCCAACACTTACTGTTCCAAATCCAACACTCAGACGCACGCGCTGTAATCAATAAACCCGGCACAGAATACCCATTCCCAATGAGCCAACCGACCGCTCCATAAGCTCGCCAATTCCCTTCATGACCCACACCGAGTCAATTTCACCAATCCCAACCTTTAAAATGCAAAAGCTTTTTCTGACCCCTCATTGGTTAAATGCCATGCCAGGCTGAGTTTCGGGTGGCTTTGGCAAGGAAAATGATACATGGGAACAGTCGTGCCTCGCCCTCCTGACCGAGTTCCGGTCATCATCGGTGTAATGTGGCTTTTTCGTCCACAATTTAAATCAGATGGGTCACTTCAAAGGTACCAAAGCACGTTTGGTGCGTAAAGTGGCACATCTCAAACGGTGGGCATTACTGTGATGAATCACTTTTAGTCTCGTAGTGAAACCTCAAACTATACGGACTGTGTTATCCATTGGCAGTTTCCGTTCTTGCAATACAACAGTTTTGAGTCAAAAACGCGTTTTTACATGCGCCATGTTAAATGAAACTGTTTTTAAATTGCATCAACCCGAGTTTCACAGATAGAAGATACCCTCATTTTGTGTTGCAAGATGAAAAAATCCCTTTATGGGCCTCGAACAGGCGCCACACGTGGCATGGTACACCCAGATTTGCAACCCATCTGATGTCCATGGGTTTCGCAGCAGTGGTGTGGTGACAATTCACCTATTCATGGTTTCTTGCAAAGGGAAATCCAGCTTGCTTATTTACTTCTGTATGTTGATGATATAGGTGCTCACTGCCTCTTCTATTGAGTTATTAAAGAATATTATCCGCATCGCTCTCACGAGAGTTTGCAAATGACAGATTTGGGCCGGGTGCATCATTTCCTGGGGAATTCAAAGTGAACGGACATCTGGTGGGGTTATTTTTTGGATTCAGTCTCAATACACAAAGGATATCATCCTCCAGAGCTTTCAATGATCCTCTTTGGCAAAACCGTGTGCCACCACCGGCCAGTCGGACTCTAGTCATCAAAACTGAGTGCTTCTAATGGACTCGTATGTCCATGATCCAACATTATTAACCTCGCAAGTCTTGCCTGGCGCATGTACAGTATCTCACATCACTACGCCCAGATTATATCATAATGCCTGTTTTCAACAACATATTCGCCTCTTCATGCCATGAACCGCGGGAATCCACACTATGCCTTGTCTCCAAAAAGAATAATCCGATAGTTTACAAAAGGCACAGTTGACTACGGTATAACTAGAATTGGCAAGACAAATACACATACCTTGGTAAGCATACTCAGACGCAGATTGGGGTGGATCTCTCTCAGACTCCAGAAAGATCAACTAGGTGGCTACTGGTGTTTTCCTTGGTGATAATTTGATTTCAGGTCTTCCAAACGGCACCCTCACTATACTCAAGGGGGGTCTAGTGCAGAGGCAAGAAATATAGAGGAAGTGCCAATGCTGTTGCAGAAGACGCACCGTGGCTTCGCAATTTGCTCCTGGAATTACAACCTCCCGCTTCAGCAGGCCTCCGTCGTATACTGTGACAAGTTTCCGCAGTGAATATGTCTGACCAAATCCTGTCCAGCATCAACGGCACAAAACACATTGAGATCGACATACACTTTGTCAAGGGAGAAAGTTCGAAATAGGCCCACAAATTCGCGGTCTCCACATGTCCCATCTGCCTTTTCAATATGCTGACATCTTTTACCAAAGGCGCTATCTCGGACAGTTTGTTCCCAGTCATTTCGAATCGCAGCTTGCAGCATCTGTCCTCCGCCCGCTCAAACTGCGGGGGAGTCTTAGTCCGATGATATCTCACACAGATCATTCCCTCTGATTAGGAACAGATTACAAATTAATCTTCCTGTAATTAAATCTACAGATTACAATTAATTTCCTGTAATTAATCTCTGTAATTCCTTTCCATATTCTGTTTGTATTCTCCCTATTTAAAGGGTCTTGTACATCAATACAAAATCATCAAGAATTCCAAATCCTCAAACACTTTCAGGAAGGTGGTGCATAGGAGATGGTTGGACGCGCCCACACACGCCAACGCGTGGATTGGAGCTCAGAACTAAGAGTTGAGTGAGAGCCACATGCAGGGAATCGGGATTTTGGGGAAGCTCTGCTCGGCAGCTGGAGGAGTCCTTAGGGTGGGCTGTGAGACAAGATAGTTACCCTAGAATGTTCACCAACACTGACAATGGCCTCCCTGCATGGGAAGCCCAGAAAAAATTGCAGAAAAAAAAAAAAATTTGATCTCAATATGCTCTGATACCGTGTGACAAATTGAGAAAAATTTTTTGTAATGTCATCAATGAGAAAGACAAGTATATATACAAGTGATTTCTCAACTATTTAGAAATATAAATCTTAGACTACTTAGGAATAAATCCCTAAGATCATGCTATATACAAATAGAGCTGCTAACTTTCCTTAACATTTGTAAATTGGGTAGTTTGGAAACACGTTTCCGCGCTTGAAAATACGTTTTTATAAACTAGAAACTATCGAGAACTGCACACATTGTTGAGAGCCCTGTCATTATCCTATGAATTTTATGGAATCTTTTAGACTTTCTTAGTTCTTTTGTTTTCTCAAAATGCTTATGTTGGTAAAATATTTAAATTGTAGAGCGTGTATCAACAGGAAATTTCAGTAACCTAAATAGCTGATTATCTGCAATTTGTATATTTGTTATTGAAACTCTGAAAACAATGCTTGTAACTGAAACATAAATTCATTGGTTTTGTTTGAACTTCTCAAATCAAGCCAGGCAAGGTCTTCATTTCTTTAAACACTGGAGGGAAATTAGAATTATGACTGTTTTGAATGGTTTAAGAGAAGTATAGCGCACATACAAAAATGATTGTATGTGTGGCTTGTCGATTTTTTTTCTGTGCAATAAGACTTTCGTCCATTTTGAATCCCTACTTTTACGTTGACTTGATCAGAAATTGTTATTTCCTCCAGGCTCATTCAATTTATTATGATAGTTTAAAAAAATGTCCATAAAGTCTTAACCCCATAGGGGTGAACTATATGGATTTTTTTCTCCATCCCATGTGGTCTGGAGCAATTTATGATTATAGTTTGAACCAAATAAAAAATAAAACACAGAGGAGTAGAAGGGAAGCAGATTTTATATTCAATATTTTAAACAATTCTACTTGCTCAATAGACTTGGCATTGCTTATTTGTCCAAGGTCTAAGCAGCTTTCTCACACTTGACCAAATTGTAATCTGTTGAATCATGTCAGATCAAGTCAGTTTGACCATTAATCCAACACTTATCAATTAATCAATATCCAGAGGAAAAGCTGAAAAGGGATATTTTTCGCATATTTTTCTCTAGTTGACACCTAATGTAGTTTGAGCTTGAATTTTATTGTTATGGTTTATTAGTGCTCGTCTTCAGACTGTTCACAACAACTGTCTCATTGTGAATGTATATAGTGGTCTTCAAAATTCTACATTTGCAAGTTGGATGTATGCTATGTTAGTGCCAGCTCGCCTTACCCCTTTATTCTCCTCATGTTTCATAATCACTGTTACCAAATGGGTTATATTTTTGTACCATGCAGGTGATCTGGCTTGTTTCTACTAGTGTTAGGACTCTAAAAGCGTGAAGTCTGCTACCTTTCTTCCCTCTTCTTTAGCTGATGAACTGTCTCCTTTCTTTCAAATAACCATTAAATTCTTTCCTCTGTTTATTTTCTGAAAAGTTGAAATCTGGCACATGAAGAACAAATGTATCATAGGATCATCAAAATTTCTCCTGCAACTGCAAACCAACTTTTCCCAAATTTCTTTTGTGCTTGAAAGAGTGGATATAATTAGCAAATTGCATATTGCATAGAATTACTATCCGTTACATGCTATAGCTAGTGTTGTAGAGGTGAACTTCATTTTGTACTTTGCATCTGTAGAATGAATGTTATAGCATTATATAGAACTGACTTTTGACCTCTTTAAATTGTAGGGATCCAAGATTGAGACCGACATTTGCAGAGATAATGGCTGCTTTGAAGCCATTACAGAAGCCTATAATCGGCCCACAAGTGCCTAGACCGAGTGCATCTGCAAGAGCTGGACATGAGAAAGGTCAGCTGTTACGAGAAGCAGAAGAGCAGGCAGGCTAACAGGTCAATTTATTTACAAAATGGGACTTTGGTTCATTGAATTCCCAAAATATGGAGGCAAATTATGGTCTTGAATCAGAAGGCACATCAGAACGCCAAAATATAGAGGAAAAATATAGATTGTTTGGAACAGGGATGTGAGAGATTGATCGAAGATCATGACCCAACATACATATACTCCAATTTGAGATGATTGTGATTCTTTTTTCTAATTTTACCTTGTTTTGCATTCTCGTGCAGCCATCGTCAAGTTCTATTTGTTTGTAAAGAAAAAAAAATCCATTTGAAATTGTTGTAATCAATGTTGTGTTTCTTTTTTGAGCTTGCGGTTTTTTACCAAGAAATTTCAAACTGAAGGAGCAATTGGAATAATTTGCATAAGTTGGCCAATTTGTTGCTCAAGGAGTTTGATGAAGGGAAATATTCCCAGTATGAGCATTCTTGAATAACTTTTGCTGCCATGATTATTGGTGCTGTATGTACGCGCAAGCTGGCCAATTATTGCTCAAGGAGTTTGATAGGACGAGGGGAAATAATTCCCAACATGAACATTCTTTTATCATTTACTTTGGAAGTTTCTTTGAGCTCTTGATTCTGCAGAGTAAGTCACAAGTGATCTACATGGAGGAGGTGCCCTGAAAATGTAGGTTAGGGGCAGATGAGTTCGATTGTGGAAGCCTCATTGCAATAATAGCATTTTGCTTACCTTGTATCAGATTGCAGCAGGATAACACATGAATGGGATTGGTGACTTCAAATAAAACCACTTAAGGCTACGCATCTTGCGCTGGATGTTTTGTTGTTTTTTTCTTTTTGTATATTGGGGAATTGTAAAGTTGTGAGGTATCAACAATTGAACTCCATCCAGAGTTTTGCGATTTGAGGGCAGGTATTCGATTGTTGAGCTGTCAACTTTTGAAGTACTGGAAGAGGAAATCTCAAATTCAAGTTATTGCTAACATATTATCAGTCTAAAGTTGCAAATTTGCTGCATATACTATGAGACTAGAGTCGAAGGAATATTCGGTCCCTGGTAGGGATGAGAGAACTTTTCTTCAGGTTCAGGGTATCCTCGCAGCCAAACAACCTTATAAAAAGCAAAAGAAAACGAAAAAGCAGAGACCCACCGTGCAAATCTCATCACATACATGGATAAGGTAGGGGACCAATAAAAACTACCAAAAAAATATATCACAGAATTATCATACTTTTCTTTCTATGTCTCGCATCTTAATATCTAAACCAAGAAAGAAACTATATTCACAGGGCTAAAAGATGGCTGCCTTATTTGGCTCTCCACCATTTCTTTCCCACCCACTAACAAGAACTGCCCACATATCATCATCATCATCATCACAAACACCTCCACCAAGTCAACCTCCACAACCGCAATCACAATCACCACAACTAAGCACAAATTTATCAGAGCAGCCAACACCAATACCAGTCAAAGTGCAACAACAAAAGCCTACGACCAAAGTTGAAACCACAGACTGGATAGCTTCCAACTTGACACGGCGGTTTGGCCTCGGTGCTGGCCTTGCTTGGGCTGGCTTTCTTGCATTCGGTGTTGTTTCAGAGCAGATTAAGACCCGCCTTGAAGTTTCACAACAAGAAGCAAATACAAGGTCTTAAATCTGACTTATCATACTTTTTCTATCTCATTATATTATATTCTGAAACTTTTGCCAATATATGTATAATACAGTACCACCTAATGCATATACGTACTCCAATACAAGTAGCTTGTATACGATTGCATTATTAATTACTGTTCATACCGTAGTCTTGAAAAATGTTGCTAAATAGATATGCTGTTCTACAGAGATGTTGAGAAGGAAGAAGAGGTATTACTGCCTAACGGAGTAAGGTAAACACTTCAATCATCAATTATATATTTGACTAACGTTTGATAACCCCTAATAGAACGTGACATAATATATTTTTAGTATAAACATTAGATTAGAAATATTATTGATTATATGATATTACGTTTCACTACGACTTATCAAATGTTATTTTGGTTCGTAAAAACTCCTGATAACCTTAGACTTTTTCTTTCTTGGGTGATTTACCTGAAATAGAGTAATTTTGTAACAGGTACTTTGAGTTGAGAGTTGGTGGTGGTGCTTCTCCAAGGCCAGGGGATTTGGTGGTGATTGATCTCAAAGGAAAAATAGAAGAGAGTGGTCAAGTGTTTGTTGATACATTTGGAGACAAGAAGCCTTTGGCTTTAGTAATGGGGTCAAGGCCTTACAGCAAGGGAATATGTGAAGGGATAGAATTTGTACTGAAATCTATGAAGGCAGGAGGGAAAAGAAAAGTTATAGTCCCTTCTAATTTAGGGTTTGGAGAGAATGGTGCTGATTTAGGTTCTGATGTGCAAATTCCACCATTTGCCACCCTTGAGTACATTGTTGAGGTTGACAAAGTTTCTATTGCACCAGCTTGATTTTTCCAATAGAGCAAACAATTAGTATATAATTAGCTTCTGGTTCAAAACATTTTAGATTTTCCTTTTCCTTTACTTTTTCATCTCTCCATTTCTTTCCATAAAATAAGTTGTAAGAAAATAACTTGCTGTAAAAAATATTTAAGTCTTTTATCTCATAAGACCATAAAAAATATTAATAATAATAGAAATTTTATATTTGAAAAATTTTATTCTTAAATATGAAAAAGAATGCAAAAAAAATGTAAATTATAAAAACCACCAATGGCCGGTAGTGGTAGCCAATGCTAAATGTTGACTGGTGGTAGTGACTGATGATTAATAAATTAAAAAATATAAATTTATAAAATTTATCAATGTTTGAAAAATGTTTCTCTCGAAACTGAAAATTGTTTTCCTTAAAAAATGACTTAATTTTCCTTTGACCAGGAAAATATTTTCTATTGACTGATTTTCCTGAACGCCTCATGCAACGGAAAATTATGGAATATATTTTCCTGCAAGTTATTTTACGGAAACAAACGGAGTCTTAAATACTAATTTTTTATACCAAGTCAGGAGATCAAAGAGGAAGCATTCTCCAAGTTGAAAAACGGATAAAAATACTACAACCAAAAGAGTTCCAAAAATATACATTAAACAGGAATGCACTGTATTCACTACCAAAATATCAGACTTGGCATTTACAGTTACTTGATTGCCTTTCCTTCTGGTAAAGAAATTGCATCAAAAACTCTGTTTTCTCCATCTACTTAATCTTTTTACATTTGATACCTAAAAGCTAGTTGTCACTTGTATCTGGTATGATTCCATGAGAAATCATATCACAAATTCGCAGAACAAAAAATAATTAAATAATTAAAAAGAATATGCATGGATACAACGCAAGTAAGACTACTTCGACTTAAAGGTTAAGCTCTATAGAACTAATCAAAACCTGACTATGATCCTTACACCAAATAGGAAGACATAAGATTCCAGCTAATTTTCATGTGGGTTGGCATTGATGCCACAAAACGGAGAAGATCTGGCTTTGCGCTAAGAGCAGGGTGAATATTTTCCGATTTCTGATTTAAAATATCAAGGAATTTTGCAATATTTGGAAGTACAAATTCCCTGCAATGGAGATGTAACAAGGGGACTTTTGACAAGACGCTTCCCTTTTGAACGTCTATACCTTCTGGTCTCCGCAATTTGTATGGTTTCCCAGAAAATGGCTCAATATCAACACGGGCCATTTGCTTCCATCTACGGTGCACAAACCAGCCGTACTTGTAATCACCAACAATTGGTGTCCCGAGAGCTTCGGCACAATGCACACGGAGCTTTGTAAATATTGAACAAACGAAATCAGATATGCTTCAAACCATCTTAAGAAGGAACAAAATACACAAGGAATCAAACAAATCCATGGAAGAGAAAAGAATCAACCACCAGCATTTACCACATAGATCTAGAATGTAGCAGAAATATCTTATCTTCACAAGTTCATTCAAATGAAGCCCATCACAACCATGGAGCGGAGGCATTGATATGAGCATAAGCACTTCTTGCTTGCTTAATTTAGATGAGGAATAAAAGTAAAAATACTAAAGATCAGCAAAACACAAACATGGGGGACCCTCAACTTATACATCCTAAATTCTGTGCCTTTTGAAATTTATAGCTCTCTCATGTTTCACTCATTATTATTTTCTCCAATCCCATAACCCATGCTTTTAGAAATATTTATTGTATTGGATATCCATCACAATTCTATCCAATATTTAACCAATTGACATTTTAATGCAAAAGCCATACTTTAATTAGCATTTAGCCTTTGCTTGAGCAAATCATTGGCAGCTTCTTTCATTTTAGCAGTGCCAATTACATCAAATAAGGATAACCATGTTAGTAGTACCTGATGCTTTCGGCTGGTGAGTGGGCATAGTTCAACCCATGAGCATCCATTTATTGTAGGACCTAACACTCGATATTGAGTTAAAGCCTCCTGGGATGCTTCAAAACCTGAATTCTGAGCCAAGACGATTCTCTCAGTCTTCCCATCATTCAGAAGCACCTAAAATATGCAACAATTGATTTAATTAAAAACCTCATTATGCTTCAAGATATCCATTTCACCTTCCAGCAAACACACACACACACACACACACACAGAGGGAGAGAGGGAGAGAGAGGGAAAGAACCTTTGAAAGTGGAGCTCGAATCAAGCCTTCCTTTTCCTCTGGAGAGCCTATAACCAATGCCCAAAATCGTTGACATTTTGCTTGACATGCATCATTCCAATCCTAAATTGCCAGACACATATTATAGTTCTAAACCAAAAGGTGGAAGCAATAACCATCGATCCTACTGTATTTTATATAAAACATCGACTGTCCAACACCAGTAACATAAATACCTTAAAACGGGAACTTGGTTTCTTTTGGTCACTAAATAACCATTGGAGATGATCAACACTTTCTTTTTTTCGGCCCATTAAGATGAGACCACTGCTTTCTCTGTCAAGGCGCTGCACCTGGTAAAAGTATTTGTATGCGAATAACTACATCAATAGTTGGAAGACATATAAGAATAGCAGAAACACTGATTTAAATTTGAAGAAATAGAGAGACAATTCAAAATTTTAATATTCATATTTAGACAAGTACTTTAGAAATGAACTTAAAGAACAGCCACAGTACAACTTCCTAGAAGCTTACCAACTTAGGTCCCTCATTATAATCGTAACTCAAAGCTGCAGCTGCCAATGCATCCATGCTATTGTGAACTGGAAGATTCCCCTAATAAAATTAAAACACAAGAATAAATCAACAAATGTAATAAAATCATGTAAAGGCAAAAATCTTTCAGCATATGCAAAATACTAGTGATTCTAACCTTGATTGGCAATTTTGGGGGTTTGTTTAGCACGATTATAGCAGAGTCCTAAAAATTTGAATAAGAAAATGCTAAAAGAGTTAGTAATATATGAAGAGAAGAATACAACAAAGATTTCAACATATGCATCCTTCAAGCTAAAACTAGCATATTCATGACATGCAGAAGTTTTTTTAGAGAAAAGGAACAGAAGTCAAATTAAGACATACCTTATACTTGACGAGCCTCTGTAAATATTCAATCTCATCAGCATTTGGATATAAAGTTCCACTTGGTATGGTGTCAAACCTCTTGGAAATCCTAGTCTCAGCTACCGATACAGGTATATGAACTTTTGCCCCTACCTCCATGACATCACTAGGCTTAATCTGTAGGCAAGCTGTGTTGTAGAATATTAAACCCATATTGCATTACATAAAGTTCAAAGAGAAGTAGATAGAAAAAATAGAAAGAAGAAAATTTAGCATTAGTGATTATGTTCACATGTATACCTTTCTCATAAATGTTTGCTCTCCCTGTTCTATGGGGCACTCCATTTGAACCTAGTAAGAAGAGGGATTGGAAGAGGCAGATCAGGATAATTAATCAACACAAACAAACACATACAGACAGATATTACATAAATTTGTACTCACAAGGCCCTTGTTAAAATGTGATTGTATCACAGAGTCTAGGATTTCATCAAAGTAATATTTGACCCAGCTAATGGCAGTCACACGGGATGCCTCTGAAGTCTTTCCAGGCAAAGGGAGGCCAGGGAATGGGGGTAATGATAAAAGCTGCCGCGGCTTGGGTCCATCTTTTGGAGAGCCCAAGTAAGCAACATTGTTTGAGACTCTAATGATTGGTTGAGCATAGGCAGGGGCTGGTGGAGCTATCCTTGAGTAACTTCTAACTTTAGATAGCACTCGCTTGTAATGAATGTTCTTCCACATTGTTGTGCATGCCAAAGTATGCAAGGTCAAAGAGAGTCCTACAGATACAGAAAAAGGAAAATGAAATTCTGTTTACAGCCCAAGTGGCCAATATTCAAACCATAACTGTGTGTATTATGAGGGTTCTAAGCTGAATGGCCAATATATAACATGGTCGTATATAATGGCCGGTGAATTCAAAACGATAATAACACATTCTAAAGGAATCTCTGCCGTTCTCTGCACTTTTTCTAAGACTTTGAATCAAATCAAACGTGAAAAGAGATAAATTTTGGGGCAAAAGAGAATCAATTTCTCTTGAGAAAAGATTAGCTAACAACAATTGAAGAGGGGGGTATAAACCAAAGATTCACAGAACAAAAGTAATTGCTTCCTTCTCTACTGTACGAGCTTTCTTTTCTCTTCTACCTCTTCAAAATTTTACGTTCTCTGTCTTCCTAATTTCCTGCTTTTTCCTGGATCTCATGGAGTCTTGAATTATCCACAAAAATTGATGAAATCAAGAAAAAAATTGAGAAATTACAAGCTAGTGTTGAATTTAGACATTGAAAGAGAAGAAAAGGCCGGCGTTCGGCTGCGGCGGTGTCGTTTAAAGACAAGGACTGAGGTCGATTTTTAGCGAGTAATACATTTAAAATACCCTGAACATAATATGAATTCCATCCCATTTTGACCTTAACCCCCAAATGATTTGAAAGTTTTGAAATAATTGCAACCTAATTTAAAATCATAGTCTAAAAAATAATAAATAATGAGAATATGGGTCCCACACAGTGACACAAGTTTAAAGTTTAAAGTTTAAAGTTTAAACTAACTTAAGCCTAAATCTATTGACAAAAACGCACCGTTTAAATTTGGAACACATTAAGTGTTCTTCTTCTCCCCTTCCAATGTTCATAGAATGAAAACCCAAAAAATCTCAAAATTTCTAAACTTAATTTCTCTATCCATCAATAAAGTCCCCACTGAGCTCCAACAGGAAACTTATAATTCAGCCTTTTTTTCCCCTATGCTTTTCGATTCTATTGCCATAAACCTTAAGGAAAAGATTGAAGCATCTGCAACTCCTTATCCTCCAACCCCATGAAGTAGAATCAAATCTCTCTCTTGCTGATGACAGAATCAATATAAAGAAAAGGTTCTACAATTTCATAATTAAATTTTATTTTTTAAATTTTGAAAAATAAGAAAAATCACCTAAATTTGCAAAGAAAGAAAAGTCAAACAATTCAAAAAATAAAAAAGCATAAAACCAACCTCCAAAAATACAAACATAGATTATATTGTTATTGTTTAAAATGAAAATATATTTTTAATATTTGAAAAATAAGAAAAATCGATCAAGTTTGCAAAAGATAAAAAGAAAAAAAAAAGTTTAAAGTAATTCAAAAAACACAAACTGATTGGTTCTTTCAAACACAATGAATCAAATTATACACCTACCAGCCAATGAAGTAGCCGAATCTCAAAATGAATGTAAGAATTCCATATTAAGCGCGAAAGAGAACTATGGAAGCGTAAACCCAACAATATAGGCACCAAGAAGTGAAGATTTGAAGAGAACCAAAAAGAGAATACGAAAGAATAACCCAAAAACAGATGCGTATAGGTGCTTGTCGAGCCGACCAGTAGCAAGTTGGCGGATGAAACTCATCGGGACTGTCGTCACGAAACAAAGTAAGAATTGAAAAGTACCGGGATCAGTATGCCGATCGCTGCAGCCATAGCCTCCATATCCACGGTGCGTTTTGCCTTTAGGTTTGGGGTTGGGTTAGTTTAATCCTAATGTCAGGCGTGGGACCCATATTTAAAATGTTTATCGATTTTTAAGCAATAATTTTAAATTGGGATGCAATTATTACAAATCTTATAAATTGGGATAACCAGTGGGTTAAGATCAAAATAAGATACAATTGATACAATATTCAAAGTTCAGGTATTTTAAATGAACTATTCATATTTTGTGTGCTAGGGAGTATCAAGCAGTGGGTACCCTTTATTCTTTTTTTTTTGGAAAATTCACAGTACAATTTCTGTAGTTTGTGAAATACAACTAGTCCATCCTTGTCTTTTTTTAATTATATCAATTTGTCCCTATGTTTTGCTTTCGCTATACTGCTAGGTCCTTCAGTAATTTTTGCATAGTTTCCATTAAGTCAACAAGAAAATAAAAAAGTTAAAGAAGAGATATTAAAATATTATATTAAAAATTACAGTAGGGTCCCACAGTTTGAAAAACACAACTAGTTCATCCCTGTGTTTTTAAAAATAAAAAGGGTATTTTCGTCATTTCATAGGGTACTTAACGAAAAAAAAAAAAAAGCAAAACTTAGACGGAAGTAAATTACAAGGATATTTTAGTCTATTTTCTAAAAGATATGGACGAGCTAGTTATATTTTGCAAACTAAAAGGATTGTATTGTAATTGTTAGTAAACCCTATTCCAAGGGACTATCTAATCTGGCTCGAAATTTAATCACAGTTGACCTAAAGGTGTGTTTAGTGGGGATCAAACTCGAGAGCTCTTTCTACATGCCCAAACTGCATTGTCAACTGAGCCATAACTCGTAGGTTGGGTACCCTCTATTTTTTGTCTAAGTATACTCACATATGACTTATTATGTTTTAAAAACTAAAATTTTAGTATCATATAAATTTATCTTTGTTTTTATGAAAAAAAAAATTATAACACCCTATATTATGTCCTAAAATTACAAATTTTAATGGTATTACACACTTCTCCACCTTATAAACAGTAATTTTTGTATGCAAATTTTAATTTGATACTCTCTCGATTCCAAAAAGATAGTTCAATTTCTATTTTCACTGATTAAGAAAATAGCAATTATTATGGTTAAAGGATATTTTTATTCATATAGCTTTTTTTATTATGCCATCTTAATTAATACATAAGTAATTATTATATTGAAATAATAAGTAAGAATTAATGAGGGTTATTGAAAATAAGATAAAATTTAATAAGAGTATTAGAATAATAGTTATTGAACATTAATATTATTGTTATATAAAAGAATAATATATATTGAAGGATATTAGATTCCTAAATAAACTCTAACTAACAGATAATTCAGAATTCCCTCTATCTTTTATCCTACTATGGTTATGTCTCTCCTAATATATATATCTCCAACTAAATCTAGAAGGGGCTTAATTCACAATTCACAATTCTTTTACTTCCATAAATTTTGAGAGTTTAACAGGTATAATAGACAATTTAAAGATTAACTATCATATATTTTGAATAAACAAAAAAAGAAAGATGGACTATCTTTTTGGGATAGATGGAATATATTGCTAATACAACTTCCAAAATAATAACTTTCATATTTTCAACTATTTAATATTATTTATTAGACACTCTAAAATGTTAGAGCATTTTAATAAACTGATTTTATAAGTTAAATTGTTTAATAGGTATAATTTGCTAAATTAAAATATTTAATTTAATATGTAAAAATAGAATGTGACATCTTGATCCAGCTAAACGGTCCTAAGAGGCGAGTAGAGCAAAGTTCCTGGCAAGCTTGCAAGGCTAACTAGGGTAGTTGAATGTAGGACATAGAAATGAATTATATCATACATTGAAATGAAATAAATAAAAGTGCCCTTTTGATGAAATGAACCGAAGAGTTGGAAGAACTCCAGAGTTAAGTGTGCTCAGATAAAAAATCAGTCGTGACCCAATACTCACATTAATTTGATATCCAATCCGGTTTTTAAAATATTGGGTTCAAGTGAAGAAGATCATCTCTAATGCTAATATGGATTGTGATTGATGTGTTATATGAGATAGAAATGTGAATGATAATGTGAATGAATGTCTATTTTTAGACATTGAATTTTAAAACTCTCTCTCTAATGTATTAGTTTTGAATCCTCTTTCATCATATTTTTTTTCTCTTTTTTGTTGGTGCACAATTCAATGTGCAACCAATCACTAGAGAGCAATTGAGACACCCCGAATTTTTATTTTCGAAAACTTTCGAATTTTTAATAAATCAAAAATCTCGATTTTCAACTAATGGGCTATATATATACCAAACAATCCCGAATTTTTTTATTTAAGAAAACTTTCGACCTTTTTAATAAATCAAAAATCTCGATTTTCAACAACTAATCGGCGCTATTATAATACCCAAACATCTCAATTCGAGCCAAAATTTTAAACGAGTCAGGCCCAAGCCCAAATAAAATATTTCGAAAAGAAATTTTGAATCGTAAACGGTTAAAAATTTTTGAGAATAATACGAAACCCCGTAATTTAATCTACTTATGAATATATATAAAATCATTATCCCTAAAAATCAAATTTTGTTACTATAAATAATTTTATAAATTTATTGGGAAAAAGTTTAAATGGAGAAAAATATTACAAACCGAATTAAACGCTTAAAATAAATTCGATCAGGCCCGAAATCAGTTTAATTTGTCGAGAACACACCCAATAATCCGAGAACCGAGGGAAAAACTTGAATCCAAGCGAAATGAGACCAAACCACTAGAAATCGGACCAAACCGTTTGGAATCGAACCGGAATGGGCCTCAGAGTTTTGCTAGAAAAGCCTTACTTTTTTTCTTCCTTTCTTTTTTCTTTCTCCTCTCTTCTCAGGCGCGCGACAGCCTCCCTCCACCCTCTCACCTCCGTTTCCGGCCACGCTCCCGAGAGCGAGATGGCGATCGTCCCCGCTAGAGCCCCTCCGATGGTCCCGTTTTTTCCGACCTCCTTCCACACTGCAGAGATCTCATGACGCGAAGCGGGACTTGTACTCCATCGACAGTTCTTGCCTTCTTCGATTCTCCGACGCAGATGCAATTCCGGCGACGTCAACACAAAAGGCAGGCGTCGATCGAGTCACCTCCACCTTGTGAGTGTTTCTCCTCCATTAATTCCGGCTACAACGCTTGAAATAGTGAAAACACCATTAATGGCGGCACCAAGCTACTGTCGGGACTAATTCAGCCAAATGGAGGGCCAACCTCGCACAACCAACATCAAAAACGGACTCCTCGATGAAATTTGAGTGGGGTGGCGTGAAGAAGGCGCACAACCGACATCAAAAACGGACTCCTCGATGAAATTTGAGTGGGGTGACGTGAAGAAGGGTCAATTCTGGGTGGCCCCAACTTTTCCGGCCACCGTAGACGGCGACGATCCGGCGAGTCTCCGGCAAGGTGCCAGGGACAGAATGTTCCTCTCTTCGCGAGGATCGTGGAATCGTCGCTCAAATTTCAATTGGTACATTCTAAGACCAATTTCCTATTTTTGGTATAAATTCTAAACTAATTAAATTGAAAATTTGAATGAATTGATTCATACATCATATATGAGCTAGGGTGAGAATGACCTATTTTGCTGAACAACAACTATTTTGAATAATTGCGAACATTTAGATAAACTAGTTATAAGAATTGATATATATTTATATCTATATACATAAGGGCGAGTCGAGTTACTTAGTAGATGTATTCATTAAATTATAATTAATTGAAGCATTTGTTCTTATTGGCTAGTATAAAATTTAACAAAGGTATAAAAAATGTGACGTATTAGCTTTAAGCAAGAATGAAGAAATGAAAGTAATTGAAATTAACTTACTGATATAAGTTTTATTCGATTATATATGTATTAAAGCTTTCATTTGTAAAGCCTTTTTCATTTGCTTTGGTAATTAGCTATACTAGCCTTAGTTAATAATTATATTGAATGTAAATAATGATTGTCATTATCATATGAAACATCAATTGTTTTATATAGTAAGTTAAAGTTTGGCATTGACGATTAAATATTAATGTGATTGCTTTGGATGGAGGAAGGGAAATAAATTTGTTTGATTGCCCGACGGATGGGTTGTGTGTATTGATTGATAAATATATAATAATATTGTGTTATCTAAACAGGTGGATAGTCTAAATTATAGGAGAGGTGCTGCCGAAATTTTGTTAGAACTTAAACTAGTTTTAATTAATAACATAACTAAAAAGTTTACTTAGATTAATTCTATAACCTAATGCATAATAAATAGGGTGCTCTAATTATTTATTTATTATCTTTATTATTCATTTAATTATTTAAGTATTTAATTATTTTCATTGTTATTGTTTATTGTTATCACTTATTTTATTGTTGTTGTTTATTGTTACTGGTATTTATTTAATTATTTAATTGCATTTGAGAATGGATGTCTAATTGTGCATTGCATTACGATGTTCAACTGATCAATATGTCTGCATTTGATGTTCAACTGATCAATATGTTTGCATCTACTTGCAATGTTTGATTAATTGCGTTGTGATAATGCTATGCTTTGTTTGTGTGGAGTTGGGATGAAGTAGGTCACCATGGGTTTGTGAGGATGGTTGGACCGTCGGCCAAGTAAATGGGAGATCGGCGCCCCCGTGTGTACCTACCGTTACCATTACCGTTACCGTTATCATTAACCACAGGATGGCTACTTGTTGTTGCGCACCTGATAATCTAGATTTGATTGGAGCCCGCAGGGTGGCCTCCTGTTGTGTGCGCTTGATGATCGATAATCTAGATTGGATGGAGACCACCGGGTTGCCTCCTGTTGATATGGAAAAGAAACGAGAGACTGGAAAAACAATGAGAGGACTGGTCAGTGAGCATTAGACCAGTTGGCCGTATGGGGGATCGGCTCCCTAGTGCACATGTACGAGAGGGCGAGCCATGTGTGAGGACGGCTCGTTTGGGTTTCAAGTGGTGCCACTGACTAATTACCACTTGCTTGATTACTTGAAAGTGACATTACGTGTGAGTGCTGGTATGTGTAATTTGTGTGACTGGCTGCGTGAGCATATAACTAGTCGGATGACTAGATTGAAATGTTTACATATTTGTGTGACTGCGTGTGTTGTGCAATAATTTAATTATTACTCCTTAGAAAATACTCACATGTCTTATTTGAATTTTTCAAGAAGTAAGTTTTTTCTTAAATCCGATGTTAGGCTAATGGTGTCTTCGGGCGCAGGCGCAATAGAGAAATTTTATCAGTGCCATAATTATTTTACTATGTAATTATGTGTATAAAAAGCCGAATGTATACCAAACAGTTAGTGACTCCGCGCAGTTGTAGAATTTACCATATAATTTGCTGTGTACTTAACATAGACAAATTATCCTGATTACAGTCCATATTAGCAATGTGATGTATGTAATTGGGCCCGAACTTTTAGACTGCTATAGGAGATAAACTTGGGCCGGAAATAATAAAATATTGAGCGTTTATTGTTCATAATCATATGGGCTGAAATGTTGAAATTTATACCGAGATATTGGATTCTAGTGTTTCAGGTTGACTACGGGCCCTCGGGGCGAGATATTGGATTCTAGTGTTTCAGGTTGACTACGGGCCTCGGGGGCCTTAAGCTTACCTGGGCCCTAGTGCCGGTCCGGCCCATGGAATCGGGTCGTGACAAAGTAAATGCTCATATGGTCTAAGAGATCCTCTAGAAATAAAAAAATATAGTAGACAATGTCTATTTATTTTATTGACACCTCAGCTTGACATCTTAATGCCTTGTTTGGAGGAAGGAATCATTAAAGTAAAGTATAGTAAAGTATGGTACGAGAAAGTATTTTAAACATCTTTTTTGTGGTTGTAGGGAAAGTATGATAAATGAATGTTTAATAACATTATTTTATTTGGTTTAATGGTAGAGGAAAGTTAAATATAAATATTACGAAAATGCTCTTATCATGAAAGATTTATAAATATAATTATGGGTAATTTTGAAAATTAAATTTTTTAACTATACTTACACCTCAATTCGAAGCGTTGAAGATTAAGGTGTTTAAATGCGTTTTCAACCTCTCAAATAACTTTTAAAAAACCATAATCTCTCTCAAACTCTCTTTCCAAACGACTAAATAATCTCATTTTGCCTTAAATTAGTATACTCTGCAAGCCTATCAAATAACCTTCATCCAAATAATCTGTAAATAGACATCAGCATTAGAGAGTATTTTTTAAAAAATCTTTTCATTTTTTTTATGTGGCAATTAAATAAAAATAATATATACATAGTCGTCAGCGTTATAGAGTATTTTTTAAAAGTCTTTTCATTTTTTTACGTGGCAATTAAATAAAAACAATCTATATTTACTTTGGATACCCTCCTATGCTTTTCCAATAAATTGGGACCTCGCAAACTTTGACGCCGAAGTTACAACGTTGTTTTAGTCCTAGCCGCACACTCTCATTCTTGAGACGAAGCGTTTTTATATTAAGAATACAATGAGATAGTAGAACGCTCTTATTTTTCCTTCAACCAACCACCATAAAGACAAACCGGACATTTACATATATTGCAAATCACAACATATTGCAGAACGTAACTCTTATCCAACAATGGGAACCGTCATCGACTCCCACTTTCTAGCTTTCACTGCCATCGTCACTGTAACTCTGTCTCTTGCTTTCTTTAAATTTCAATGCTTGTTTCTGTTAGTTCCTCATCGTTGGGTTGTTTTTGTAGGTGGGATATCAGTTTCTGTTTTTCGTAGTTACTGCTCTTCTTAAGTTTGATAAAGTTACCGACTTTGCTGGTATCACTCTCTATATACTTCTTCCAAGACTCTGCCTTTGTTTTTTGGTTATTCAAATAATACTTTTGTAGACTTGAATTTTCATATTTTCTTGAGAATTCGGTTAATGGGTTGCCGAGAAATCAAGTTTTCTTTTGATGGATTGCTTAGGAATGGCAGGATAATTATGAGTGAAGTGATCTATTATTGAGGTAATAATGTAATTTGCATAGATTTTAATTCTGTTTGGTTTTTTGTTATCTCAGGAAGTACTAATTTTGTTATAATTGCTGTGTTGACTCTGGTTTTGAAAGGGACATGGTATTTCAGGCAGGTAAATGTCGTTATACCCGGCTTTCTCTTCCAATTATGTCTTCATATTGTCCTTCTGGGGTTTACTCATAGGCTATTACATTTTGGGTTCAGATGTTAGGTTGAATTTATTTTTTCCTAGAAATTGATTGTTGACTCGATTTCTGCTTTATAAAGTTAATTGCTCAGACTACATGGTTCGGTATCTCAGAAATAGTATAACATTGTCTGTTATGTTCTTTTTCGGCTACATTTTAGTTTTGACTGCATAAAATACATGTTCCCCCCTCTTTTTAAATTAAGTTCATCATTTTAACTTTTGCATTGTCAGTGTTGAAGAAAAGGATTTTTTAGGAGTGGTTGCTAAAATTTGAATCCCACCAATAGGAGAGATTGGAAAAAAAATGAAAATTAACTTCTATTTTGCCCTAAAACATTGATGATATATGATCTTGTGAAGAAGGGTTTTTACGGTTTCTGCTGCTATTCAATTGAGTTATTTAATCTTTATTGGTCGCTTATAGATTATTTTTTATAAGAAAATCCCTTGCATACTCAATTGTAGTTTTCTACGTTTTAGAAAAATGTTATACTTATGCAACTAAAGAACACTAGATGGTTAGCTGAAGATAAAAATGCTGATGATAGAAACTCTAGAAAAGTGTCAACAATAGAAGAACTAGACCTTCAATTATTACGTCTGGCATGAATGAAGTTTGTTTGTTATATTGAGATCCTAATATAACTCTTTGTTTTGTTCAAATTTCTCTATTAATGATTTGGCTGTTCTATTTTTCAGGTAGTCTTGAGCTTACTGGTGGTAATGTGGGGTCTTCGCTTGGGATTGTTTCTTTTAATGAGGTATTGATGATGTAGCATTTTGTTTAGCTTTTTTTTCACTCGCTAAACATATATCTACTTGATCATGAACTAGAATTTTTAGGATTCAGATGGTTGCATGGGTTGATATGTATTTGATTTACAAAATTACAAGATTGGTATATGGACATTACTTTTTGGTTTATTAGTCTTGTGAAGTCAATAGATTGCTAGCATCCAAAAAAATTTGATAACAAGCTACTTTTGATGTCTATGTGGGGTAGTGCCATTTCTTTTGCAAATTTTGTCTTTCTCAGGATTATACATAGAGCAGTTTAGGGATCCGTGATAGCTTTGGATGGTTGGATCCCATAAATGGTGATTGGAAGACTGAAAATTGCCCAAAGTATTATTACCAATTATGTCTCACAAAACTCCTTGAAAAATATGAAAAAGACCGTACCATGGATGGGATACTCTAGGAATTGATGGTCTTGGAATTATTATCCACATCTGAAACTTATAGAACACATTTTGTAGGTTAAGAGTTGTTACTGTCTGCAAAATAGCTGCTTAAAAAACTTATGATACAACACTTGTGGAAACAATTTTCACTGTGAAGATGGATAGTCCTAAGCTCCATACACAGCGTTGCATACATGCTTAATAACACTTCGTTAAAATATATTTCACTGTGAATCAACTGTTATTGGTCAGTGATTTTTCCCCATATCATGCATATGATCAATTATTCAACCATGAGGTGCAAAAAGATTCTTTTGAAAATAATAATTTTGATGTCCGGACAGAAAATTATGGGCATATTCATGCTTATGCAATGTGAGGGTATCTATAGATTATGTATTTATGTATGGGGTCAAGTGAAATCATGAGTGCTGCACATTAATGATTTATCCCTGATTTTAGTGACGTAATGCTCTAAACAGGATTTTGCAGTGGGGGGAGGATAGACGCTTTGATGAAATGCGTAGTAATTTGGGAAAATTAGCAGTTTTCTGGATATTTCAGGTTTCTTTTGTCATTCTCGATTTTATCTTTAAATCAACTGTAGCTTTGCATTGATTCTCAATGCGATTAAACTTTGACATCTGAAAGTAATTTATCCATCACTTGGTCCATTTTTTTCCTTCTCTGCAGGCTGTGTGGGTTTGGACAGTGAGTTTACCTGTAACAGTGGTCAATTCAAGTGATAGAAATCCTTCTCTTCAGGCTGTGGATATAATTGGCTGGGTTATGTGGTCTGTGGGGGTTTCAATTGAAGCTGCAGCTGATCAGCAAAAATTGATATTCAAGAACTCTCCAGAAAATAGAGGGAAATGGTGCAATGTTGGATTATGGAAATACTCTCGTCATCCGAACTATTTTGGCGAGGTTTCCCTTAATTTTTATTTTAATACCACTCTTTTGCAATTAGTTCCACCATTGACTTCTCATAATTCCTTTTGTAAATTGTGATCAAGTGACACTACTTACAAAACAACTTGTGAATTGGAATTTCCTAGTTTATGCATATTTAAATGCTTAAACTGATTTTGATTATAAAATCAATAATAGTTGGGTCTAGTTTCCTACTTCTTTTAGGTTAATCTAATGCTAGGATAGTATATCGTAGTTGCTTCGTTTGGATAGACAATAAATTAATAAGATATGAACCTCAACTGTTTTTGTACTTGTGGCAATAAGGACTGGGTTCTTTCTCATCAAACATATTTGAAAGCTACATTTGATATTTCTCCATTTCACTCAACCTTTCTGAAGTTCCTGTGCAGATTTTCCTTTGGTGGGGAATTTTTGTGGCTTCTACACCTGTGCTGGAAGCTGCTGAGTGGCTTGTAATCCTTGGGCCAGTCTTTCTTACATTGTTGCTTCTTTTTGTTAGCGGCATACCATTGCTTGAGGTTTGTTTTTCCGCTCCAAATGTTACTGTTCATTGTTCACTACCATCAATCAAAATGCCTAGACTTAAAAGCATGAATGGAAACAGGAATCTGCTGACAAGAAATTTGGCAACGTGGCTGCATACAGGATGTATAAGAGGACGACTAGGTTAAATGTCTTTTCTTCTGCTCTTCCTTTCATTTTAAATGAATTTGGAGGATAAACTAGCCGAACTTGATTTATTCCATTTCAGCCCACTCATTCCGCTGCCCACCATAGTCTATGGGAACTTGCCTTCATGGTTCAAAACAATTTTCCTTTTTGAGTTTCCTTTATATAGTCGCAATCTTCCAGTTGAGGGGACAACATGGTGAGACTGCTATACCTCTAATAAATCTTTCTTTTAATTTTGAATGTTAAATTCATTTTATCGTTTTGTTAGTTGGAGAATTGTTTTAAATATCTCTTCATAGCGTCGCAAATTTCAGATTTCCTTTTTTTATTGGTTGGATAAATTTGATTGCTCATTCTTCTGGTTTTTACATTTCTTTAATTCGATCCTATTTGCTTTGGGGTCTCACTATGTTGCAAGTTACATGTATCTCTGCTTCAGCTTCTGTTGCATATGCATTCTATTTTGTACTTAAACTTTATACTTTACTGGAATTTTAAATTAAGTCTATAGAAGCTCAACTGCTTCGCGAGTATAAGAACCGAGAGATAGGCAGATAGCAGCTATTCAGCATCTTGGTTTAATTGAATTGCTGTTACAATAGTGTTGTAGCCTGTAGGTTAACTTATCTGCTCCTGTCAATATTCTTAAGGTACGTTTGGATTGATAATGATGTGAAATGAAATGAAGTGCCATTAATATTAGTGTTTGTGCTTGTTCTCTTGAAATATAAACTGCAATTCACATCTGTTTTTAAATTGACATGTATATAATACAACCTCAATGTATACTGTATCTGAGCAAAGGGAAGATATGTAACTTATGCTGCAATGTAGTTCAAGCGTTCCTTTTCCTTGTTTCGAAACTTTGTTTTGACATTTGCTTTCAATTTGCATTGTTTCTAAGGCATTCACCACTTGTGCAAGGTGTAGAACAAGCGGAGGAGTCATCGACGAGGGATTGAAGACGAGTTAGAATTTGATTCTCTGGAGTTGCTCTAGTTTACAAATCACCTTTAAGCTTTCATTAATTAAGCCTTATCAAGTTAACTTTTTCCTTTTGTCTATTTTCCTTGATAGTTCATTTTTCCCCTTTTGATGTATGTTAATTGCATAGTTCTCCCTCCACTTTGATACTCATTCTTGAATGAAAGCTTTTGTGATGCCCTTAATTAGAAGGTGCTTTGTTATATGATTGGATGACTAGAAAATGAAAGCAAATTATAGAAAGAAGACATAAAAAAAGAAAATCTCTTTGACATGTTGGTCGACCCAAATGGGGATGGGAGGCTCCCTCTCTCTGAAGCCTTTTGATACCAATCAGGTGGTTCTAATGTGCAAAAATTCCCATCTAGTACTGAACTAATTGGATTGTTTTGGCTTTATTAAAAAGAAAAGAAGCAAAGATTGACGACAGCTTTTAAAGTAGTTTTTAGTATTTTAATTAGTTGAAATGCTAAATGTTATTTCTTGATAATGTTCAGCAACATTTAGATAATTCATGTAACGTTAAACTTTTAGTATTTTATGAAAAACTACTCAAACAACTAATAACTAAATAAATAACTACTAAAATAGCTAAATTTGCCAAACATACCCAAAACACTAAAAGATAGTTCAAATTTCTCCTAGCAAAATGAGTATAAAAGATAATTATGCTCATGTTGAGCTAGGGTGTTAAATTGGTAATTGGACTTTATTATTATGGTTTTGGTACAATAAGAAAGTTAAAGAGAAAAGACTCCTATATCCTCATTTGTGTATGTATGCTCCGTTAATGAGAAATAGCTGAGTTGTCATTTTTCCCAATTTCACTTTATATCACATGGAATGGATATCCAGTTTTATGAATCCAAACAACCTCAAATTCGTGTCCAAAGCAAATTTTGCACATGTTGAATTGAACTTTTGTACATGTTGAATTGAGCTTGTCCAAATCACTTTTGCTTGAATACTGTTGACGATGCTCTTTAATAATAATAGAGTTGAGGATGCTTTTCAATAATAATAGAATAATGTTTGGCAAAATGTATAAATTTATCTCTGTATTTTATAGAAAACTCATTATGGCACTCTAAACTTTGCGAGAGACCTATCGCACCCCTGAAATTATGAATTTTAATAACATTGTGCTACTCTTTGTAATAGCAATAATAGTTTTTTGGTGTCTTTGACATTTATACACAAAATATTTTCTTGATATACTATTAGTATAATATTTGGAACAATAATAGTCTGTTTAGAACATATGAATTATTGTTGTAAAATTCATTTGCAAATGAATTTGTTATGTTTGTTATGCTATAATTTAAAATAAGGAATTCAATTGAATTCCACAAAATTATGTTTGGAATAAATTCTTAAATGAAAATTCATTTGTCTTTATTTTTTATAAAATATTTTTCTTAGAATATACTGATTAGATTATAATATTTGCAGGAAACAATAATGAGTCTGCTTTAGAACATATGAATTTATATGCCCTTGTAAAAATCATTTGCAAATGCAACTTTGTTATGTTTGTAGCCTATAATTTTAAAATTAAGGAATTCAATTGAATTCCACAAAACATTATGTTTGGAATAATTCTTAAAATGAAAATTCATTCTGTCTTTTATCTTTTCCTATAAACACCTTAAACATAATAATTTAACAAAGAATTAAATTAATTTAAACCCAATTATAATTATTATGTATAATCTAAATAACTCTGTCATTTTTTATTTAAATATAAATAATAAAATTTCATATAAATACAGCTAACTAAGTATTCCCACATTAATTAATTAATTATATAAGCCAATAACATTCATCATTAATAATTATTTTTTAATTGATGTTAATAAAATTTTTATTTGATTTAAATAATTTAAGTTTGCCAAAACTATAAAATAAAATATTAAGAATGCTTACTATTATTTTTAAATTGCCATTTGAAAATAATTGTTTGATTTAATCAGTTAGTTTTTAAAGTTTTCATAGTAATAATATCAAACATACTACTAGACTTTTATTGATTTAAATAATTAATTTGGAAACTAAAATAAAATATTAAGAATGTTACTATTATTTTTAATTGCATTTGAAAATAATTGTTGATAATCAGTTTTTAAAGTTTCATAGTAATAATAATTAACATACTACTAGACTTAAAAAAATGTTATTATTGGTTTGGAATTTCCAAAAAAAAAAGGAAAAAAAATAAAAATATATACTTACGTCATTATTGGATTAAAAAAAGACGTTATATATTTTGGTATTTTCTAAAGAAACTAAATAAAAAGGAAAAAAAAGTAAAAATAGTTGAATTTATAGTGGAGAGTAATTTTGTCAATAAACATTTCAATGGTCAATTTTATGGAATTCATTTACAAACTCCATCAATTTTAGTAGTTAGGAATACCCAATTCCATAGAATAAATTCTTAGACTTTAAATCTGTATTTTTTTTTCATTCCAAACATAATATTTTAGATTTTCAAATGAATTCCATAAAATTTTGTGAAATTTATTTATTCCAAACGAGCTCTAACTTTCACATTTTTCAGTTATTCAGTTATTCAATAAATATTTAATCAATCTAATTTTACAAGTTTAAGCGTTGAATAGAATAATTTTTACAAATAAAAATATTTAATGGTTACAATTTTGTTCGTGCATTGTTTCAATGGATCAAAGTAAAAATTAAAAGTACCATAAAATTTTTTACCTAAAATATAGGAGGCGAATTTATGCGTTCGGCCAATGAGTTTCTTTCGAGATAATAAATAATTTTGAATTGATTATATATCTCGCTTTCACTAACATGTAAAATCAGATAGTTACAATCCTGTATTATTCAGAGTTAGGGGGGAACTGCACAAATTACACCCACATCTTAAAAGCTGGGGCAAAAAGAAATTAGGACAAAAAAAAAATTAAAGAAAAAAGTAAAATTACAATTTATACACCAGTTTTGTTGATGTTTTCCAAGGAAATCGCAGCACCAGATCTTCCCTCACTTGACACTTGTGAATGTGAAAATAGAACGTAGAAGACCCAGAAGTGCAGGCATACAAGATAAACCAATGCCCACAATTTTGCAGCTGGATTTCTCCTCACAAACACTGCACCGGCTGTGAAAATTGCATCCAACTGCAGAAGCAATGATCCCAAGTGTTTACTTCCTGAACGGATTTTTTCCTCAAATAGAGGCCTCAACTTCGGTTCAGGGATCTGAAACATTCCCGATTCCAGATCCCTTGAAATTGACCTATTTTCATCAAGCATGTTTGAAACTGCCTGTAGAAGCATTATGGTAAGAGTAACCAATCAAAATTCCATCTGTGTTTCTGTTTTTTATTTTTAGTTTTTGATTATACTGATGATTCTAGACTGAAGGATGTACCTCAATTCTGAATAAAAGGGTTGCCTTCTCTGACGAGAGCGCCTCAACCTGGTTCAGTAGGCAGAAACACAAAAGTTACTTTCACAAAGCACCGGCCATATTCTAATGATATGACATTTGATGACTTTAAATGAAAAATATGCTGCAATAGGGTTATGGAGTCCGTGACTACTGAAAATTTGTGCTGTTACTTTATTCTTACAATTGGCATTTGATGACTTGAAAAATATACTGCAATGGAGTCCATGATGAGCACTGAAAAATTTGAACAGTTGACTACCACAAACATATTATGTTCTCCCCAACGCTAGAAGATCATTTAGCTATTATGAAAGCTTGGAAAGTTAATCACGAAAAAAAGAAACAATTTTCAAGCTGCAAGAACCACACAGGAATCCTATGCGAACCACTGGGAGTTAATAATTCATAGGACATGAATAAATTCTTGCTCACGCCATATTGGCTTCGTGCTTAATTGCAATAACATTGGAGTTGCATTAGGTTAATCTTAATTCTACCAAAGCCATCCCCATCCCCGCAATCCCTCCTCCAAAAAAATGCAAAAAAAAAAAAAAAAAAAAAAAAACACTGGTCCGAGGTTAATAATTCAAAGGACATGAAATAAATTCTTGGCTCACCGCCTATATATGGCTGCTTCGCTGCTTAATTGCCCAAGTGAACATATGGAGTTGCATTAGGCTTAATCTTAATTGCTACCAAAGCCATTTTCTCCCCATAAACTCCCGCCAATCCCTCCTTCCTAAAAAAAATGCCACCCAAAAAATAAAAAAAAAAAAGAAAAAAAAAAGAAGGAAAGCACGTGCCTTCCCTTATTATTAAATTGCATAAAAAAAAAAAAAAAAAAAAAAAAAAAGAAGGAAAGCACGGGCTCTCTTATTATTAAATTGCATGTGCGGAAAGGCCTGGTCAATGTAGCCCTTCCATCCCAAGCAGCTTACCTTGCCTCATCTCCACACCTCTATAGGATTTGAACCAATTCAAGTTTCAAAGTATAGTTGTTAAATTGAGATTGACTCAAGAATCCAATCATCATTTTCTGAATAGAGAATTGAGAATCAAATTAAATTGTAAGATTCAGTATACCTTTTCAAAATGGGCTGATAGCTCTTTTGACCAAAAGAATAAGATAGGAAAAGAAAAGACAAGTCACATAGCACGAGATACTATATAGTCTATATTAGAGGAGGCCAATGGGCACTATGTTAAATAGAGGCGTATAATTGGTCGGTTTAGTTCTGAAGCAAACTGATTAAAACCGAAAACTGAATTGCACTTTTTTTCTAAACTGAACTGACACTGAACTGTGTAAAAACCAAACCAAACAGGTTTATCTCAGTCAAATCAATTCAGTTCTTGGCCAAATTTAGCTTATTTCTATAACTGAACCAAAAACTGAAGTTACTTTAAAATATAAACCAAAGCAAACTGATAACCTGAAAAACCGAACTAGATTAGTTTGGTTCAGTTTTTCGTTCTGCTCACCCCTAATGTTAAAGAAGGGCTGAATTTAAAGTGAGGGTTAGCTTTTATAGGAGAAGAGAAGAGAGAAAAACTACTTGAGCCATCAACGAGAAAAACAAGAATTCTGCACCTTGCACTCTCTTAGTCTCTCTCACGCCTCTTCTATTTATGTGCTGCTTATCTGCTCCATTGATGTTTTCTACCATGTCAAAACTTCATCATATCCTTTCTTCTTCAAATAAAGATGAGATCCTAATTCTGGGGACCCGTATTGCCAAAGTACCAAAACCGAATTAGGTAAATAAGGGCTTGCATGGGTTTTCTTTTGTCCTTGTCACACTATCGGAAATAAACAAATTTGAAAATCTTTGGGTTTAAAGTTGAGAGAAAAATAAAGTAGTTAAAATAAATTATACCATTTCCAAGGTTTCCACTCTATGAAACTCAAAGATGTAAGGTATCTTGCTCAGATGAATAATAAATAAGATGCACCTACTTAAAATGCATTCTGTCTCCATTTTTCTCTCTCTTCTACCATTTTTGAAAAATAAAAGCAAATTTATACTACTTGTAATTTGCCATGAATCATAGATGCAAAATATTATACGCACATCCCACATGGCAGTTGCTGAAGGGACAATAACTTGCATCCATATTTCTATGAGAATTCTACATGATTAGGAAAGCTGTTGGAAACACAAACCTGGGCTTGTTTCTGAATTAAATGGTCAGTTAACTGTCCCAGTCTTCGCTTAAGCTCAATTTCTACTTCTGTTGGATCCTCCATATCCTTTCTTGTCATTTCAATATTTGCTTCCAGCTTCTTTGCCTAAAGAGATCAAGTCAACCTTAAACAGATAAGTAACACAAATTGAGAACATTACTGTATTTGCCTAAATGTGAAGAAAATCATTCAAATATATGCTCAAGAGAATTAAATATTATCAACAGTTATCAATGAAATAATTATCATAGATTCTGCAACATGGGTACCAGGGTAGCAAAACTCCTCATATGGTTAACAGTCGCAGTTGTCTTCAGGTTTCTATGAATGAAATCAGGACACAAACTTGGAAATAAATTTTTATTTAATTATTTTGGGTAAGTAAACCCAAAATGTAAAAGTCCATTTTACACATCCAGTGATGCGATTTAAATTCCTTTATTATTTATCGTTTTTGTTTTGCTTTTTGCAATGAAAGAGGTATTCAAAAAGACATTTGAAAAATAATTGTTGCCCATTCTCAAAACAACAAAAGAACAGTGTCAGGCATGTTTTCATTTATCAGTAACCAGAATCCACCATCCAACAACTGAATCCAATCCCAATTCAATTCCAATTCCAATTCAGAACTCTTTTTCCTTTTAATTTTTCATCATTAATCATATCCTGAAGGAAGTTGTTAAAAGAATACATTGCTACCTGTTAGTATATAACTTTGCAATTTGTTTATAGTCAAAACAAGCCTATGAAACTCAAAGCCAAACTCTTTAGTTGCGGACCTGTCAGCATGTCACATTTCTGTTGGAAGCATTTACCAAAACATCACCAACAGGGGATTATTATCATTGATGCTAAAAATTGCAACATGACCAATTCTTCCACTATTTATATTCTGTTCTTGTCTTTCCATGAAGAGGCCTTTTTGCTTTCCAAGAAACTACAAAGATGTTATGTTTATTTGCTTTACTAGGCTCAAGCACATTCAAGCAAACCTAAACTTGAGTTCAAACCACTTATTCTCAAACATAAATGCAAACCAACCAAAATGCTTCTATAGACAAATATTTAAATGTGCAAATAATCAAGCTCCTAAGAAAATATTTCAAAGTTAGTAATACTAGTTGGACTCTTATATGCTTCACACATGGAGTCCAACTTTAAAATGCTTTAATTTATTATTTATAAAATATATTAATAATTATAAATGTAAAAAATATTTTTATGCTAACTATATTTGTATTTTCATTTTCTTTTACTATTAATGAGTTTCTATTAATTCATCTGAAAGTTTTTAATTTGCATGGTATTATTTATTTTCTTAAAAAATAAATTAGCATTGAACTTTAAAATTTATGTATTATAAAAAACTGTCAAATGCCCATTTAGTTAAAAAATTAAATTAACCTATATTTAACTATTCATGATAGCTAATACAAATCCTCTCAAATGTTCATAAAAAATTCAAAAAATAAAGTAGCCATCTATATTTTTTATATAGAATATTATATTAAGGGATATTCTAGACATTAAAAAATTGTACATTTTTGAATATAAAAATTGAAAATTTAGACTTATGTTATATAAGATAATTGAGATAATATAGAGGTTTTGTAATATTTTATGCAAAGTAAAATAGAAAATCCTTACAGAATGAATATAATGTAATGGCTGCTTCTGCTTTTGATATTGCATGCACATTGTTAGAAAAAAATATAAGTAAAATATTTCAATGAATAGTACTAATAACCAAATAAATAAAGATAAAAAATAAGAAATCTGAGAAAAAAAAAAATAGACATGTAATAAATGAGAAAATAATTCTTTGGGTATTTTTGGCTAAGTAAAAAATTAAAGTAATGATTAAGCTTTTATCATTATATTTGGCACTAGGATTTGGTTGTTATTATTGTTGTTTATCAAAGTATGTCCAAAAAAATAAATAATACTCCCTCTGTCCCATTTTGTTTGCATGGTTTGACAAAACACGCATATTAAGAATTTAGTCAACAAAAGCTATTTTGCCCTTTTTAACCCTTAACTCATTAAAGATATAAATAAAAGTCCCTCATTTAACGAAGGATCATAAAGGTTATCATGAGAAAATAATTGTTTACATGTCTAATTAAAAACCTTGCAAACATTTTTGGACATCCAAAAAGGGAGTAACAAGCAAACAAAATGGGACGGAGGGAGTATAACTTAAAAAATTTATTGTATTTCATTATTGAATGTATTCTAAAATTGAAAAAAGAATCATATATAGTAAACTCATTAAAGTTGTATAATATAATAATATAGTCAGCTAACGCAAAATTATTTGTTTTATACATAGTACTTTATTGAAAAGAGAAAACCATTAACAAGAAAATGAGAAAATATAATTAAATGGACTATTATTTTATGTTACATTAATTTGGCTGTCCTTAGGAATTAATTAATTTAATTCAAAATGGGGAATAGAATTCATCTCACAAGCTTTTATTTGCCATTTGCTGAAGCCAAAGCCAATTGCGTCCTATTTTGTACATGTAGGAGGATGCTAAATTGAATTGACACATGAGAACAAAAGCAAGCATATAAAATGACGAAAGAGAAATTCTATGGAATGAAATATGTATGATTTTAACTGTCAAGTGCAAGGGTACTTTTGGTAATTCAAAAATACAGGTCGTGAATAGTGAACAACCCATTTCTACCTTTTATATAAGTATAAATGGGCAGATATAGGTGTCAAACTTTAAAATTTAATAAAATCAATTATACACACACACACAGATCAACCTAATAATGATAAATCTTTATTGACGCAGCAGAGAATTAGAGCAATTAGTGCTCAACGATTAGGCTTAAATAGGGTGATTGTGGTTGGAACAATATAAAATAATTGGTTCCAAGAAAACCTTAGAATTAAAATTTCAAAGTGTTAATTAATTAAAATTCCTACAAAGTATGTCAATTAATTAAAACGTATTCCTAATTAATTAATTAACATACTCTATAGGAATCCTCAATAAAGTAGAAAAACTGAAAAATGGCTCCTAATTTAATAAATTTAATTTAGAATCTTAAATGAACTTGAATACTCCTGCATCATTTTTGCAGCAAGTTGATAGTATAGAAATACCACAACATATTGAAAACATGAAAGCTAACCTTATCTTCCAATCTTCCAATTTTATCAGTCAAAAAGGAGTACTCTGCTTCAAGTATCTCCCTTTCAAATTCAACTCCCTTGGAAGCAGCTGCCTACAAATATTCAAGTTAAAATTAAAAAGATCAGCACAGAGTGTCCAAGAAAAACATGGGACCGAGACAAGCTTTAAATGAGCAAGACAAAGCATATACAACCCCTAAGGATTATAACATCTTTTCGCCCTGTTTATGTACCAATATGATCATGGGAAAGCATTACTCACTTGGTTTAGATATGTCCCAGTTTGGTGAGCCTTCAAGATCTTCCTCTTGAGTTCTACCAAAAAAAAAAAAAAAAAAAAAAACTGTCAAGGGTGCAAGGGTACTTGGTAATTCAAAATACAGCGTCACGGTGTGAATAGCCTGAAAACCCATTTCTACCTTTTTATAATATAAAATGGGCCAGTATAGGTGTCAAAACTTTTTAAAATTTAATAAAATCAATTATACACACACACACATCAATCCTCGGAGCTCGTCTGCGTTTTCACTTCGTAGGAAGCTCGTCAAAATAACAGATAATGGATAAAAATCTTCATTGACGTCCGAGCCACAGAGATTAGAGCAATTACGCTGCTTCTTCTAACGTGATTAGGCGCTCTTAAATAGGGTTGATTGCTTGGTTGCGAAACAATCATAAAGATAATTCGTCGTCCAAGAAAACCTTAGAATAAAGATTTCAAGTGTATTAATGAAAATTCCAAAAGCCTATGTCAAATTAATTAAGACGTTATTCCTAATTAATTAATTGACGATACTCTTATAGAATCCTCAATAAAGTAGAAAAACGAAAAATGGCTCGCTATTTCAATATAATTTAATTTGTCAGGAATCGTTAAATGAACTTGACATACTCCTGCGATCATTTGTTGCCCAGTGCAAGTGATCCAGTATAGAAATACCACAAGCAGTATTGGCAAAACATGAAAGCCCTAACCTCATTATCTTCCAAATCTTCCAATGTTTATCAGGTCAAAAAGGAGTTCTCAGTAACTCTGCTGTAAGTATCTCCCTATTCAAATTGTCAACTCCCTTGCGAAGCAGCTGCGCCCCTAACCAAATTTCAAAGTTATAATATTAAAAAGATCATGTCACATGTGTAGTGTCCTAAGAAAAACACTTGGTGACCGAGACAAGCTGTTAAGATGAGCCGAAGACAAAGCATATTAGCAACCCCTAAGGATGTATAACATCTCTTTCGCAGCCGTGTTTATGTTACCAATATGATCATGGGAAAGCCATTACTCACTTGTTTAGATACATGCTCCGCAGTTGCGTGAGCCTTCAGATCTTCCTCTTGAGTTCTACCATCAAAAAAAAAAAAAAAAAAAACAAACCAAGTTTCATGAAAAAAAAAAAAAAAAAAAAAAACCAAGTTTCAGTGACTCGTATGAGAAGCCGTATAAGGTGAGATAAATTTCATCATAATTTAAAATTCATTTTAAATATTATGCATATTATACAATATCTTGCATATTTCAAACTGACATATGAATGTTACTCATTTTTAGTATAAGTATCTACTACTGCCTACCTATGGCAAATTTTCAACTAAAAAATATTAATAAATCTTATATCATTTACATACAAACTGTCAAAGCTTTTAATTTGTTCTGTTCTAAGTCCATAACTAAAAAAAGGAAAAATAGGTTAAAAGAAATCAATAGATGCAAAGCAATTAGAAAAGAAGTTATATACAAGTTTTCTAGGTTGGATTGAAAGAACTAATAACACAACTTTTAACTAATAGAAATCTCGCCAATGGACTAATTGTACAGCATAATGTTTGCCTCCATCCAAAATGGACAACAAATCTTGACGAGTCAATAGGGAATATCATCAGCCCTTTGTACATGTGTTTGTGTGTCCCCATTGCAAAAATTGTATACACTTCTCTTCTTTGTATATATGTGAAAACACACATCTTATCCCCTATTTTCTTGCGTTTCTTTCCTTTTTCATTTATTGTCCTCAATGCACACAATAGTTGCTATATTGACTAAAGCTAACTGGAAGTAATTGTTAATTATGCGTACACGCCTTGATGAAAGGGTCTTTGCAATTGGCAATTTGACAGGTTCATTTTTTGAACAGCCATTGCAGTGAATTTGGTAGTTCTATTAAATTATAATAGCTTAGGTAGCGTGAAATTGATTCTAAGGCTTCATTTGTTTATGGCAAATAACTTGTTTGGAAAATATTGTCCAGATTTTTCAATGTTTAGGGGTTGCTTAGGCAAATCAATCAACAAAAAATATTTTCCTAGTTAAAGGGAAAACTAAGTCATTTTAAAGGAAAATAACTTCTCATTTTCACAAGAAGAAAACCTTTTTGAACATTGACGAATTTATTATTATCTCATAAACATATATTTTAATCCTAATCAGCGGTAGCCACCACCATTAGTCACGGATTCATGCTCAGGACCACCACCAGTAACCTGCCACTGCCACGGGTGACTACATATCACAATTTATCATTTTTTATGTATTTCTTATGTTTAAAAAAATAAAATTTTCAAATACGAAATTTTTATTATTCCAAATATTTTATGGCCTATATAAATTAAAATATTTTTAATTAATTTTCAATATTGCAACCAAACAACAAAAGTCGAGTTATTTGGAAATTTTCATTAAAAAATATTTGTAAAGATAAACTAATTTCTAGAAACAATCGAAGCCTAAATTTGATAGGATTTAAAAATCTAATAGTAGTTATGATATCTGTGACAGCTACTTGGCATATGTTGTGTACTATCAAAATGGGTCCAGTTTAGCTTGATATTGTTGCCTGATGAATGATTGTTGTTGATAAATGGTGATTGTCTATCTGAAAAATGCCATGATTTGTTCTTCTTTCAGCTCCTAGCAACTGAACAACGCCAGATATGTTTTCAGAAGTATGGTTCAACTCATGAATTTCTCTAAACAATAATGCCATGATTTCTTAAATTGTACTCCAGGTGTCCATAGATGGTTTTCAATGAAAATAATTAGATTGGTTGTCTCTGCTGTAAATTTATCTATGATGTTTTTTATTGTTCTTATTTGTTTCGAATAAGTGGTAATGCCATCATTTTTAAGCTTTAAAATTTGTATTCAGGTAAAACATAAAAGAAGAGGGGGAAAAAAAAGAAATTTTTTTTTTAGAAAACAGAAGACAGCAACAAGTTGCAAACAGTTTTAACTTTCAAGAACTAGAAAATAGCTCCAATTTTTTTTCTTTGATAAACATCAGTTAGATTTTAGAACTGGGATCCAGCGGAGGGTGTGATATCATGAAAGGTGAATTGATGCACCCTTTGTTTCTCGAGTCTTGGTTAGAGATGAATGCCAAGCTTTTCAAGAAATTAAGGTAAAACTTTTGAGATTCTCCTTTATTGCAGATAATTTCACAGGCTCTTATCTGAACATTATTAGTTCTCTTGATTTGAGATATTTATTATGTTCTGCCACTTAATTTATTTATTCTAAAGTTTCCTACATGCCCTCTTCAATTTAGCTTCAGTTTATTACTCCCTCCATCCCATTAAAATTGTTGGTTAAGGTTTTTTTTTTTTTGTCCCACTTCCTTGGTCATTTTAGAAAATTAAGGAAATATTTTTTTTCCAACTTTCTTTTGGTATCTCCACTAAGTATAATTACTTAGAGAATTGTTAAAAGATTACAACTATATTTTACTGGAATTGAGGTTCCTAAATAACTTCCTTTCTCATGCAATTACCTTAAGTGACATGGTGGGATGGAGGGAGTATAGTGCACCCCCTATGGCATCATAAAAAATCTATGGAATGCTTGTCAAAACAAAATACATCTCCGTCAATTTTCCACCAGTCTAGCTACTAACAGATTATACACTTAAAAGCTAATAACATTTTGGCTAAAAATCCCTTGTTATCATAGACCTATCATTTCATTGCTGTGAATTTCTGAAATTATTATTCTAGAGTCTAGAAACAATTCAACTTCAAACTTTAGCTTCTTCAAAATCCATTCCACTTCATATATGACACGTAGATTGATGGAAATCCGAACTCCTAAACCTTACATTAAAGCTATGGCCCCACTTTTTTTCTTCAAATACTCTATATTAAACCGATAATGCATGAGATAGCTAATTATCTCTTTATTAAATACTTGAGATTACACCTTCTTTTCTCAAGAAATCAATATATCATAAATGTATATTTTAAATTCCTCCTAGAAATGCATGCATTACCATCTGCTATAACTGGGAAAAGAAAAGGAGAAAATAAAATGTCATTCCACATTTATTCAAGTAATCAAGATAAAAAACAAGTATAACACACCTTCATGAGACACTTCTTTCAGCTCAAATTGTTGTCGAAGTTCAGCAACCCGATTAATCTGTCCCACAACAAATGCACGATAAATAAGCTTTAATTGGTACATGTATGAATTATACACACACACACACACACACACACGGAAACCACACATGTGAAGTCATGTTACTTGTTCATGAGTTCAAAAGGCCATATCAAAAAGAGGCCAGCAATGCATAAGTCCTCATCCACAAAATAGCACATTTGTAGATTGGCAGACTGAAAATGTTTTATCAGCACATTACAATTATATCAACTTAAAATTTTTTTTTCCTATGAGATTTTTAAAGGATATGTAAATTCAGTTATGAGTGATTCAGCTAAAACAAAGTCCTAAAAGAACAATTTTGGTCTTTCCTCTCCTCCCCTGTGCTCTCTTTTTATTTATTCATTAATGTGGATGCAACACCTAAAGAAAAAAGGCAGACTTTTTTAGTTCAAGAAAGAGATTTTGATTCATCAATCTATAAAAAGGAAGGAAATGATCAAAGTTCCAGAAAAGGTGAAGATTTTTCTCAATTCATCCCTGAAGTTGAGTACCTCCTATGCGATTGTCCAAATAGCTAAAGTTTCAACACGAGAAAAGGGTGTAGAAATTTCCTTTTCATGTGTTAAAGACTAGGAAGATGAACAAAATAATAGCTCCTAGAATCCTTTGTTCCCCTTCAGCCTTCTTTAATTTTCTACTTACCTATCTTATGCGTAACATCTAGTCAAATCATATATAAACTATAAAAACTTCAAAGGCACATAAAATGCAATGGGGTGCTCAGAATGATTAGTTGAATAAGAAGATCACTATGACTATAGCTGTTAATTTACTAAATTGAGTGATAAATGGGAAATAAAAAAAAAAAACATATAATCCCCACTGCATGATCGACAAAAATTAGAAGCCAAAGATCTATCAATGAGATTTTGGCCTGTCTAGACTCATAATTTGTGAGAAGCAAAAAGTAAGTAGTAGATCTAGGTAACAGTCTAGCTGAACCTGTCTTCTATAGTACAGCAGGATTTTTCTTCTGTCACTCCATAATGAAAAAGTAATTCAACTAAGTGGGCAAATATTTTTCCGAAAAGAATACAGAAAGAAGAAGATAGTCGATAGGTTTATCAACCAAACCATTTGAATCAGATTAACCATACCTCCACTTCAAGATTCTTCTGTGCAGTAGCAAAGGATCTTGCAAGATCAGCATTTGCAGTCTGCAATCACATTGACCTTTAGAAACAGCCACATTAATGTAAATATTTGCATTTAATTCTAATTTCATAAAAAGCAATTTCAAAGATCAGAAAATAATAACAGTCCAAATAAATTAAGTTGACCATATAAACAGTATGATATACCTCCAGTTTAGCCAAGCGAGGAAGGGCTTCCATTCTCGTATTATTATGTTTCTGCTTTTCCAACTCAACAGCCTCCATTGTTTCCATCATGGTTGTCTGAAGCTCTGAAGCCTGAAACAGGAAAAAGATAAGATCAGCTACAAAAGTTGTGCTTGGAAATAAACAGTAATTTGATGTAAGTTTAAATTATCAAAGAACAATACTGCAAAACGAAAACCAGAACTGAAAAAAACGTTCCTTCAGCTGTAAGTACCAATAAGTTTTGCACAATGCTCCTGAGACATTTGGTATAGCAGACAAACTTCAGTTTATCATCGTCTCAATGCATTATTATTTTGAAAGACAAATGAGAACTAGTTTTGTTGTATATGCAGAACCTTACACATAGGGCTTGATGATGACTAGTAGTTTAAGGACACAAAGGACAATACTAGCCATAAGGGCATAGATGGAAAAGAGTATAAAATATGCCTACTCCAAAATATTCAAGAAGACAAGAGTAAACTGAATTCTCTCTCCTCACTAACACTCTTATTTACCAATATTCTCTACCTTCTTTTGGAGGCAAGTGTCATTCCAAATATCAGAAGGGAACAATGTATGATATCATTCCAATTTATTGCCAGCATCAAGCACTGGGGAGAATTCTTTTATCTGACATGAAGGTAGTCGGTGCCATGTGGAGCAAGAGGTGGACCATCCTCCTAGGACGCAACGGACACAATATTTCAAAGGACTGTCTCTTCTTCTGAGTTCTGTTACGCGTGCTTAATCTTCTATTAGAGGCAATTGTACTTGCAAAAACTAACAAGGATTGATGGTCTGTTCACCACCTTAAGTTTACAACTCTAGAGTCTACCCTGGCCTAGGCCATGCTAGTATCATTTGCCAACAAAGCAATAATTGTCAAATAGTGGCATTGAAGAAAACTACTCAAAAAGGTTTTCTCTTTTTCTTCATAAAAGTACGAAGGTGGTTCTATTCTCATGGCTCCTAGGACTTAGATTATACCTATATTTAGAGTTCCATATCACTTAAATGTGTTAAAGTATACTAAATTGGTATTCATTGCTACAACTAGAACAGGTCAAGCATATAAGCGAAGACAAAAGATCCACACTACTTACTTTTTCAAGCCAGAATAAGAATTTGATCTCAGCTAAAGAAACAATGTACAGAGAACAAAATGACAAGAATAACATTGTAGAAACTCTCTACAAAAAATGTTACCTCCTGTGCTTGTTGTTTTGCTCGTTCTTCTAGTATTTTCTCCAAGCTTTGTTTCTCACCTTCCAATCTTGCTACCATATTTTCCCTCTCTTTGATGACCTCTGCAGCTTTAGCTGCTGCTTTCTCTGCCAAAATCTTTTCCCTCATCTCCCTCTCTTGTTCACTCTCGGAATCAGATGATGAACCTGAATCACTCTCTGAATCAGACCCTCCACTTGTTGAAGAACCTTTCTTCAAATCATCAGAGACAGAATTTCTAGATGCAACACCAGACTGATGCTTCCCCTTTACAGTACTTCTCAGTCTATCATAAACATTGCCTGCTCCCTTCCTCACCTCTGATACCCCACCAATTTTCTCCGACACTGATGACATTTCTGAAGTAGCAATTCTATTTCCTGTTCGCAAAAGATTCTCTTCAGATATATGCTTGGATTCAAAAAGGCAACCATTTTTTTCATTTCCCTTGTTGCTTTGTCTCATCATATTAACACCAGTGTCCTTATGACCCACCTCTTCCCTATCCAAAATCTTACCATCACTCTGCAACTCAACACTTGAAGATCTTGCTGACGAAGTTGACTCTTCCTCATCATTCGGTGTTCCATTTAACTTATTTCCCAATGCAATATCCAATTTCTTCTTAGACTTAACTCCACCACTACTCTTCAAATTCCTTTTCTCTTCTAACACTGACAAATTTGAGCCTGAACTTCCCTGTCTCCTCCCATCCCTCTTCAAACTTCGAATTGCAGAAACCCCATTACCACGATTCGATGAAGAAGAAGGTGTTGCCTGAGTAGGAGTACTAAGAAGCTCAGTCCAATCACTATCAGTAAGTGTCGGCTTTGGTTTAGGAGAAATTTTTGCGACATTTGCAATTTCCTTGTCCCCTCCATTATGATTGCTGGTAATAGTACTATAAGCACTCACATTGTTAATATTAGGATCAGCGTTCAATTTTCCTAAATATTCATTGCTATTACTATTGTTAACCTCATTACTTGTTTTCTTCTTCAACTGATCCTTCAACGGCACCGTTCCACCAGCTCCTCCTCCTCCTCCTGTTCCTGATTTTGTTGGAACATTGAACTGTTGATCCCCAGATCCCAACAGTCTCTCGTTCTTTTTCAACGACTCTGCCGCTTGCTGATCGATCTGAACCATCCATCAATCATCATGACGCATTCAACTCCAATTATTCATGGATTAGAGAAAAAATTCTTCAAAAATAATAATGTAAATCAAAATTCAAAATAAAATTAAGGAGCAGAAGAAAATTTGCCTGTTCGAAAAAGGTCTCAGCTACTTTGAGTTTCGAGGAGATCCAATTCGCCATTCTTTTTTATTTTGAAGATCCAAATTTGTCACTTGTATATAGGTATATTGCGCATTTTAGCAACAACTGGAGAGAGAGATTCAGGGGTTTAGTTGCAGGTTGCAGAGGAGGCGATGGATATTGATTGTGTATGGTTACGTGATAAATACGCGCGAGTTTTGGCCGTGGGTTTGGACGGAAGCACGCAGGTTAGAACAATAATTTTTTTATTTTTTTTCGGTTGGGAGATTTTAGCTTGTCTGTGACGGAAAACACATATCACAAATTAGTGAATTGTCAGATTTGCCGCACGTGTCTACAAAAATATATATAAGCAGGCATCTTCAGACGTCAATGTTTGGTTCCAAACAACAATCCAATCAAAATTTAAGAGAAAAATTATAAACGTCTTCTTATATTTTTAAAATATATTAATTTGTGTTTATATTTTAATTTCGTCCAATTATTATATTATTTTACTATTATTTTTTATTTTTGCTGTTAAATTTAAATAAAAAGACTGAAATACTCTTATCTTCTTTCCTTTTTTTTTTTTTTTTTTTTGCCGCACCCGTGTCTACAAAAAATATATATAAGCAGGCGCTCTTGCAGGACCGTCAATGTTTTGGTTCCAAAACAACAAATCCAATCAAAAAAAATTTAAGAGAAAAATTTAAAAACGTCTTCTTATATTTTTAAAATATATTAATTTGTGTTATATTTTTATTTCGTCCCAATTATTATATTATTTTACTATTATTTTTATTTTTGCTGTTAAATTTAAATAAAAAGACTGAATACTTCTTATTCTTCTTTTCCTTTTTTTTTTTTTTTTTTTTTTTTTTTTTTTGTTCTCTTCCCCTCTCTCTCATTCCCTTTCTGTCGCCGGGCAAACCTGAGATTCCAGAGATAACGGCGATGGAATTCACGGTTACCGATGAGGTTTTGTTTGGATTTCCAACGAGGTATGGCGTTATGGCTACATAAATGAAATTGTTCTTTTACTTGATTAGACAATTGTTTTTTTACTGTGAAACATACTGAAAAAAATATTTTTTAGTATATTTTTTCCATTAAAAGCTTTATTCTGAAAAAAGATGTTCTACAGAACCTACTGCATTACACTTACCGTCAATTTGGATCTATTGATTTATGCTGTAAAATTCATTTGTAAATAAATTTTAAGTAAAATTTATTTATAAATAAATTTATCATTTTTAGTATGTTATAGTTTAAAATAAAGAATTTAATTGAATTTCACAAAAGTATATTTGGAATAAATTCTTAAATGAAAATTCATTTGTTTTTATTTCTTATAATACCTTAACATAATAATTTTAAAAAAATAAATAACAAACACCAATTATATTTATATTTACAATATAATAACTTGTTTTTTTAATTTAAAATATAAATAATAAATTTCATATAAATAAATATACTAATATTCTACAATTAATTAATTATATAAATAGTAAAATTCATCATAATAATTATTTTTAATTGATGTAAAAATTTTTATTGATTTAAGTAATTAATTTGGAAACTAAAATAAAATATTAAGAATGTTACTATTGTTTTTAATTGCATTTTGATAACAATTGTGAATACTCAGTTTTTTATAGTTTCATAATAATAATAACTAACTGTTATTAACTAAACTTCAAAAAAAAAATCATTAAGAATGTTACTATTGTTTTTAATTGCATTTGAAAACAATTGTTGATACTCAGTTTTTATAGTTTCATAATAATAATAACTAACGTTATTACTAAACTTCAAAAAAAAATCCATTACTAGGTTGGAATTTTTCAAAAAAACAAGGAAAAAAATAAAAAATATAAACTAACGTTATTATTGGATTAAAAAAAACATTGTTATATAGTTTAGTATTTTTTTTCAAAGAAAATAAAGAAAAAAAGTAAAAATACTTGAGTTTATAGTGGATGGTAATTTTGTCGATAAACATTTCAATGGTCAATTTTGTGAAATTCATTTACAAATTCCATCAATTTTAGTAGAATTTGAGTTAGGCATACCTAATTTCATAGAATTCAATTCATAGAATTCAAATTTGTATTTTTTTTTTCATTCTAAATACATCATTTTGGATTTCCAAATAAATTTCACAAAATTTTGTGGAATTCATTTATTCCAAACGGGCTCTTGATATTTAAAATTTATTTTTAAAGAGAATTTGCTGTTGAATTTGGATTTGTCGTAGAAAATGCAAATTTAATAAGGATGTAGGGTATTTATGTCCTTTCATAAGTCTTTCAACGGAAAAAAATAAAAAATATTGACAGAAAGACAGAATAGTTGAATAGAATCAAAATATATGGATAAAGTAGTATATTTTAAAAAATATATGGACATAATAGTTAATTTTAATACAATATGAGAACATGTTTATAGTTTTCTCAAATTCAACTGATTAAAATTAGAAACTAGCTAATTTTGGTCTTACGTTGCTGCAGTGCAGTTTTCAAAAAGAGTATTGCTAAATGGCACAAGTTGTATATGACACCATCTATACACATTTATAAATACACTCTTAGCCTAACATCAACAATATCTAAATTGCTAAAAAATTTTTTAAGGGTATTAAAGTCTTTTCACTTATGTTGGGTTGACATAAATTACACCAAAAATATTTTCCACTTCAAATTATATATACCTATCGGCAAGCTATTTATATATACTTTTCAAAAAAAAAAAAATCTATCCATAACTATATTTTATAATTAATATGTATTTTTATAATCTATACTATGTATAAATGTGGGAATAGGGGGATACTAGGATTTCCTATAGCGCCCTTGATGAAATTTAGAATATCCTAAAATAACCTTAGCTATAGCAAATTAAAAAATTATATTTTATTAATCAATTGGATATATTTATAAGCCAATTATGTATAGTTTGATTGTCTTCTTACTTATGTGAGGATTGAGAGATCTTGAGTTCAAGTCCTTTCTTGTAGCCCACAGTGTTATTTTGACCTATCAAGCTTTCTAATGAATCAAAAAAAAATATATTTTTAAATAAATACATATAGATAATTAATCATTTTTTAAATTTTAAGTTTTATCTTTATAATAAATTTATTTTTTGATAAATAAATAAATATGATAATGAGACATTTGAAATTTTTTTGTATGTTTTATTTATCAAATACTTAATTTTACTTTGATTATAATTTAAAATAGTTTATTTAGGAGATAGATATAAAAAGAAAGAAAATATATTCTTTTTATTAATATTCCTTTTTTTTTCTTTATGTTTGTATGATTTGATTGGATATTTAAAAATAAATTTTTAAATAGAATATATATAATATTTTATATAAGAGAGAGATAAAAAAAATAAAAGAAAATATATTGTTTTTATTAATATTTTTTCTTTATGTTTGTAAGATTTGATCGGATATATTTTCTAAAAATTAAATTTTTACATAGAATTTACATAATTAAACCTGGGATGACAAACAGTTAAAAATTTTAATTTGAAAAATATATAATAATATTTTATTGATATATTTATATACCTATATGCATTGAAATGTTTTTCCTGTTAGGTGAGTTTTGAAAGAGTTTTTATCCTCAATGAAAATTTTTTATTTTCTTTTTCATTCTTGAATAATTTATAATTACTATCATTTTAATTTAGTAAGAGATTTATAACTCCCTTGCAATAAATAGATGACCTATTGATGATTAAACATTTTTAATTTTCTTGATATTTTTTTTTCTCTTATATCTTAAATCTTGTTGACTTTAAAAAAATAATGTTTAGAAAACTGAAAAAAAAAAACTAGAACTATATATTTTTGTTTAGGTCACGTTTTGGGTTTCAAGAATAAGTATGTATTTGCATATATTCCTTTTTCTGATGTAGTGGATAAGTAATACTGTTTCTATAGTTAAAGTTATTTCCATTATCAAATTCAGATCATCTTCTCATTTCTTTTCTTTTACCTAACAGTAAAAAATAAATTATTATTAGTTTTAATTATAATTATATATAGATATTGATTTGGGTTGAGGGCAAGAAGTTGGAGATTGAGTGACTTGATTTTTTTTTTTTTTGGATACCTATTAGAATTTTAAAAATTGCATTTATAAATTAGGGACTAAATGATTAGGTATAAAGATTGGGTTGAACATTATTCTGAGGCCATTTCATTATATAAAAATAGAAAGTATATGAGAAGTAGCATTATAAGTAGTTTGTATGACAAAATTTATTATAAATTAACCACTTATATTTATTTTAATCTAAACAAAACTTATACTTTAATATTATATAGATAAAAAAATGAGTATATAATGAGTATAATCAACGTGCAACACTCATCATACAAAAGACTAATATATAAAAAAGTAGAAACATAATTTAATTTGATTAGTTGAAAAAATAAAAATAATTTAATGTTGAATGTTCACATTAATTTTCTATTTAACTTTAAATTCTGTTGGATAAAATAAAAAAAATCATATTATATATTATATAAGTTATATATTGTAACATCCTACTGAATCGAGTCGTTGCATAGAGTCGAGTCGAGTCGGGCCGAACTAGAACCCGGTTCGAGCCATTTAACTCCAGAAGTCGCGGCCGAACTAGAACCCGGTTCGAGCATTTGAACTCCAGAGTGGGATAGAATGGATGTAAACTTAAATAAGTAAGAGAAGTGGACTTACTTTGCATAAAAAACAAAAAGATTAAAGTATAAGGAGTAAGACTTACTTGCACTAAAATATAAAGTTTAGGTATTAAAATGTAACATATGGAAAATATAGGTACTATTTGATAATTTTAACATACAATCAAAGAGATATTTGGAGAGTACACGACCTTAATTTCATTTTCCCTTTCTTCATCTTCGTCTTCATCTTCCTCTTCATCTCCTTCATCTTTCTCTTCGTCTCCTTCCTTTCTCCATCAATTTTCATGTGATTCAAACACTAAATTCAACCTAGAACTCTATCCAAGTAAGTAGCTTTTCTTGAATTTCATAATTTAGTGATATTTTCAAGTAAGTAGCTTTTCTTAAAGTTCATACTTTTGGATATTTTAGATGATTTTAAGAAGGTTATTATGTATATCGAAAATAAAAAGGAGGGAGCTTCAAAGTAGGTAGAAAAAGGAATTAAAAAAAAGCTTTTAAAAGCTGTTTGGTGAAGGTTTGATATGTCTTTTGAAGTTTTTGCAACCATTTTCTTGCATGAA